CACTTCCCCAGTGCCCTCAGTGGACACGTTCCCCAGGCTGGGACCCACACTCCTGCCCTGATCAGGGTCTCCTTTGGCTCCTGTGGGAGCTCTCTTTAGCTCAGCACCTCTGCTCCACCCATTACCACTGTGCTCAGCGGCTCCCACTGCCACTGCCACTGATCTCTCATCTGGCCCCTCCAGCTCGCTCCTGAGCTGGTCACTTCTGGTGGTCACTGTGATAGCTCTTGCCGCTGATCATCTCCGCACCAGCTCTTCAGCTCCCAGCCGGTGCTGCTTATCTCCGGGGTGGGGTGGGCTCACAGCCCCTGCTGCAACCGCCGATCCACCCCCTGCCAGCTCTTCGGCTCCTTGCAGGCACTGGAAGCCTCCTCCACAGTGGCTCCCTGCTGCACTTTTTGTTGCTGCCAGCATTTATCCTACACTCCTGGGGCCTGCTTTTATCCCTGCTGGGTAATGTCTCTTGATGATGTCACCCAGCTCCAGCTGTAGATGAGCATGGCTGATAAACTGCGCGGGTGTTTTTCCCTGGCGCGCCTCTTTGTCTCTTTGGAGCCCTGCAACAGGTAGGTTTTTCCCTTTGTCATTTGTCTGGGGTCTGTCATTTAGCTAGAGCTAAAAAATAGTCTGTAGGGCTATGAAATGGGAGCTACATTACTGGGAACAGCTAACAGAAGCAGCATTGTAAAAGTAAGGATAGCTGGAGTAGTAGAACCATTAAAGACTATTAAAATGAAAGAGGGTCATTAATACCCATGGAATGCAGAATTTAGAAGGAATTAGATAGATAACATAATCCATTAAGTCAACTGACTCCATCACTGCTGCCTGACTAGAAATGCTGCTGCTACTGCCAAGAATTGTCTCTAAACTTTGGGGAGAGCGGGAATCAAAAAGGAGTGCTAGTGCACCAGTGCATCCCATTTAGATTCACTTTCTTCAATCTTCTATCTATTATGCCTACTTACATAGTAACCCTTAGATACAGGAGCTGTTAGAATGCCAGTTCTGATTGAGGTCTTGGGGTGCACAGTAATATATTACAGTGGAATTTTTCAAAAATTCCTCTCTGTGCTTCTTTAAACCCATTCCTATGTAAATCATAATGGACTGTAATACAAGAAAGTTGAGCTAGTAGGCTGCCTATACATGTGCTCAGAAGTGGGGAGGGGAAGGGATGTGTTTTAATTAGAGTAGTTCCTGGGCAGTCGCTCTAATTAAAACCCTGCAATGTCATATATATTAAGTCCCCAGATATTTAAAAATGGACATGGGATGCTTCATCTAAACCTCATTCAATGAGGCTTAGTTAAATTACCCAATGGACATTTTTAAAGGTGCAGGGGCATAATAGATGTGACACTACATTGTTGCTGCAGTGTTCTAATTAGAACATGGAGCAAACTTGATTAATCAAGCCTGCTCCAATGCATTCTAATTAGAATGTCAACAAGACATGTATAGGCAGCCATATAGGGCCTGACTTCTCAAAAACCAGTAAATCTCAGGTTTTTCCTGAGCTTGCTTTTCTTTCTTAGGCTTAGAAGCTATATTTTAAATGGGAAAGATGAGGTGTAAAATACAAGTTAATGAGAGCAAATGACTAAGCAAGCAAGAAAAGCATGTTTATTAACATAAAGGGATCAGTGATCAGAATGCAATTGTGCACACAAACTTTTACATTAACTCTCTACAAATGTGATACTGTGCATGTGCAAGTGCTTTTTAATTTATCTGGATGACTGAACATGCAAGTCTTTCCTGTTTCCAATTATGGTTGTCTGACTTTAGTCTTATAAGAATCTGTCCCATTAGCTGTGTGCAATACAGCATGTTATAATAATAATAATACTAAAGCGACTATAGTATTTTGTCCTCAAATATTCCAAAAGCTTCCAGAGACTTAGTCACATAAACTACTCCCAATGATATTAATGTGAGTTGTGAGAGTAACTATAAGGGTCAGCGAGCACATTAAAAGGTGAATCTCAAAATGAAGCTCTTAATTCCGCTTATGTGTTTCAGTGAGAGGAATTAAACTTCAAATTTCAAAGTGATTATAGGTGGAGGATGAAATGTTATATTTAGATATGCAAACAATTAGGACTGTCTGTAACCCAGTGAAATGTAACAGCTTATAGATGTTGATATACACATCAGACCAGATTAAATGCATTTACCTTATTTACTCATATAAAAAATGATGAATCTTTTTCCTCTAATCAGCATGGGGGGAAAATCCCTCATATACATTTGCATACAAGGAAACCTCATTAAATACATTGTCTATCATTAACATTCTGCACCTGTTGGTCTGACAGGTTCCTGTCTGGTCAGCTAGCTAATCTCTCACTTAGGTTCAACACTCCCCTGTCCTAATATTTCTTGCCTGCCATGATTTTGCTGGAATTGTCGTGGACAGACAGAATGTCCACCCATGGGTTGCCCCTCATCTAGTTTTCATTGTTGGTCTTTTCTAGGGCTCGTTTCCTTCATTACACTCTGGTTTGTCATTCACCTGGTGTGCTTAGCAGTTACGGATCTCAATGTCTGTTTGCTCAGCCTTCTTCACTAGATTGGCCTTGTCTATCTTGGCTGAGGCTGGATACTCCCATAAGTAGTTTCTCTTAAGACCAAAGTTAATGACGCTGGACCTTCAGGATCCAGCTTAAGGGTTTCTTTGTCCCTCTCTAAGTTTATGACTCATCAGCTTACCTCTCAGCCCCTCTTTCTTTACTCAGAATCCTCATTCATAGATTCATAGATTGTTAGGGGCTGGAAGCGACCTTGCCCCCACTCTAGGCAGGAAGACAACTGGGGTTAAGTGACCCCAGTGAGGTGACTGTCCAGTCTCCTCTTGAAAACCTCTGGGGTAGGTGACTGCACCACCTTTGGAGGGAGTTTATTCCACAGTCTGGACACCCTGACTGTGAAGGAGCTTTTCCTGGTATTAAGCCTGAAGCAGCCTTCCAGGAGTTTTTATCCATTGGTCCTGGTCTTCCCCAGAAGTGCCCTAGTGCACAGTTGTTCACCGAGCTCCTAATGCACTCCTCTGATATAGCAGTAACCTGCTATTAAGTCCCCTCTCAACCTTCTCTTCTTTAGGCTAAAGAGGCCCAGGTCCCTCAGCCTTTCCTTGTATGACTTGCCTTACAAGTCCCTGATCACATGGGTGGCTCTTTTCTGGATCCTCTCAAGTTTTTTCACGTCCTTACTGAAGTGTGGCACCCAGAACTGGACACAGTACTCCAACTGCGGTCTCACCAGTGCTGAGTACAGCACTACAGTATCACTTCCTTAGCGTTACACAAGATGCACTAGTTAATGCATACCAGCGTGTTATTTGCCCTGCTGACCAACAACTCACACTGACAGCTCATATTCATGTAGTGGTCAGTCATTACTCCTAGGTCCGTTTTGACCATGGTGCAAGTCAAGCTGTCACCACTGAGCCTGTATGTATGTTGAGGGTTGTTTGCCCCCAGGTGGAGCAAATTACACTTGGATGTGTTAAACTTCATTTGGTTCTGGTCTGCTCAATTCTTTAGCCTGCCCAGGTCCACCTGTATCTGCAACCTATCTTCTGACATGACCACACTGCCCCATAACTTGGTGTCATCCATGAACTTGGCCAGTGAACTTTTCACTGCCCCATCCAAAGCATGGATAAGGGTGTTGAAAAGCACGGACCCCTGAGGCACTGGCCACTTTGTGACAGGATGACACAGATCAACTCATGAGAACTCTCTGGGTCCTACCCTGTAGCCAGTTTCCCACTCACTGAACTGTTGAGCAGCTGAGCTCACAATCTTCCAGTTTTCCCAAAAGGATATTGTGGGATACTAGATCAAAAGCCTTTTGGAAGTCTAGGTATATAACATCTACCTAGTCTCTCATGTCTAGGTGGTGAGAGACCTGGTCATAGAAGATGAGATTGGTAAGACAAGACCTACCCGTAACAAAGCCAAGCTGGCTGTTGTTCAGAATCTTACCTTTCATGAGCATATCGCACATAGATTATTTAATGAGCTTTTCCAGGATTTTCCCTGGGATAGAGGTTAGGCTGATTGACCTATAGTTGCCCTGGTCCTCCCTCTTCCCCTTCTTGAAGATGGGCACAATGTTGGCCCTCTTCCAGTCCTCAGGGATTTCCCCTGTGTACCACGAATTCTGAAAGAGCTTTGCCAAGGGTTCCGCGATGATCTCAGTCAGCTCCTTCAGCACTCTTGGATGAAGTCTGTCCAGTCCTGCTGATTTATAAATGTCTAGCTTTTCTACTTGGTATTGCACCCAGTCAGCATCCACATTGGGGAAGCTGTCATTCCTGGCATGCCCCCTCTGAACCTTATCTTGCTTGTCTTTCCCCTTGGTTTAGTGAAATACTGAAGCAAAGAGGGCATTCAGGAGTTCAGTTTTGTCCTGATTATCAGTTAACAGCTGTCCTGAGGTGTTAAGCAGGGGTTGCACACTTCCATTTGTTTTCCTCCTACTACCTATATGCCTAAAGAAGGACTTATTGTCCTTGACTCCCATGGCTAACTTAAACTCAGTCACCACCTTGGCTTTCCTGATCATTTACCTACAAATGCTGGCCACTAATGTATAGTCCTCCTTGAGGACTGTCCCTAGCTTCCACTGTGCATACATCTCTTTTTTTCCTTTTTAAGAGGATTGCAATGTCCCTATTAAGCCAGGAGGGCTTGCTAGCCCTTCTGCTACCTTTCCTCTTTGCAGAAACATTTTTCTTTTGTGCTTCAAGGATCATATCCTTGAGCAGTGAGCATTCTTCATGCACCCCATTCACCTTCCCTTCCTGGTCCTTCATTGCTTCCCTTACTAATGATTTGAGCCTGTCGAAGTCAACATTTTTGAAGTCCAAGACTTCAATCCTGCTGGATGATTTGTTGACCTTGTGGCAGATAGTGAACCTGATAATTTCATGGTTGCTGTTGCCCAGGTTACCCTCAATGTTCAAGCCACACACTAGATCATCTCCCTTGGCCAAAACCAAGTCTAGGAGAGTGTTACCTCTGGTTGGCCCTTGCATTTTCTGGGTCAGGAAGAGCTCCTTGATCACAGTCAGGAAACTGTTTGAACAATCTGACCTAGCCAAGTATTCCTCCCAATCTATGTCTGGGTAATTGAAGCCACCCATGACAAGCAAGTCCCTTGCATGCACAGCCTTGTAAGCACAGCCTCTTGAGAAAACTCCAGATCCAGCTCCTCCCCTTGGTTTGGTGGCCTGTAGTAAATGCCTACACTTAGGTTTCTCTCATCACACCACCCCTTCTCCCTGCCCCTGTAGCTTGACCCAGAGGGTTTCAAGCTGCTTATCTTTGGAGCCAATGTCAGTCTCCAGAGAAGTGTACTACTCTCTCACATATAGAGCTACCCCTCCGCCTTTTCTCTCTACTCTGTCCCTTCTGTGGAGGGTGTAGCCCTTTATGGCTATGTTCCAATCATGCAAGGAGTCCCACCAGCTCTCCATGATCCCTACCAGGTCATATTTCCCACTAGAGAGCAGGAGGGCTAGCTCCTCCTGCTTGTTCCCCATGCTCCTGGCATTGGTGTACAGGCAACTGAGGCCCCCAACTGACACCCTCACTTTCCTGAGATGCTATGGAAGAATGTTTGGTTAGCATTTTCGAAAACAGTTGTGCTAGTGTCATCCAGAAGGAACTCTCAGACTCTGAAGGCCTCCCTTGTCAAAATCAACCCCTGGACAAGTAATTCCATCTTCGCTTTATTTCAACTCTTAGGTTACAAGGCTCTTATAACATAGTTCATACCTGGAGCCAGCAAATATCTTCCAGAACCCTAGTTAGAGCCCTGAGTTCTGGGATATCATCTATTAGCCCCTTTTACAGTCTTTTAGCCAATAAGGTGCCTGGGCTTCTCCTTGGCACTGTCACTGCAGGGAGAGAAGACAAGCTCTTCCCCCACTCCCCATGATGGATTCTATGTGTGGTTAAAGATGAAACTTTTCTCAGCTTCATCTTTAACCTGACCTACTTTTGTGGGCTGCAACTGGCTCCCATCAAGCATCTAATTAATGCACAACTGTGTGTTGTTTCTCAACCTGTCCTTCATTCTCCCTCACTTATCTCTATTTTCTGTTGCCTCAGGGCCATGTTCATGCTCTGGATGGGAGCAGAATTGCTGGATCCCTTTTTATGCCCCCTCTTGGGACCTGTTCTGCATCTCACTCTATCAGTGGCAAGCTTACAGCTTCACACTGACACCAGGTCAGTACACTTTACTGCCATTATTCCAGGGATAGTCCATAGTTTTAGAAGATAGGGTCTACATTCCCAACCTTCCCCCTTTCTGCATGGGTGACCATTTTCCTACTGGTCTGCAAATGCGGTCAGTGCCTCCATGGCCTCAGTGTTTCCTTCCCCGTGGTCGCAGGAGAAAAGGCAGTCCTCTTGGCTTTCCAGTGACCATCAACCCAAGCTTTTGCATGGGTTCCAGGTAAGGCTACTGGCCTGCCCTCTTTCCAGGGGATCTCACTCTTTATGTCTCCCATGGCCCTTTTCTCCCAGTAGCCCAGAACTCCCAGGGTCTTCTGGAGACCCGCTTCCCCCTTTTCCTTACTGGGAGATCCCGGATTTAAAGAGTCTGCATCCTCAGTGGTGACTCTGTGCTGCCAGAATTCCAGGTTGGGCTCACCAGTGGAGGAGAGCATAGTGGGACCAGAACCTGGCTCCCTGTTGCAATCTATATAAACCTTACTGAAGGGACCAATAAATTCAATAATGATTATTATACCAAAATCCTCTAAAAAAAAAAAAAAAAAAATCCTGCCCAAGAACCCTTGCCTCTTGTATAATTCTTGGAGCATTGTGGCTACAATATCTCTCCAGCACTGACTCAATTAAAGGGACAATTTGATGCAAATAAAATGTGTATCAATAATTTTAGCATTTTTCCCTTAGAGTCTGAAAAATTCTAACAATTTACAGCAATATAATACAAAAATAACTTTTCTTAAAGGAACAGAGATTTCATATCTCTTAATTACTTATATTAATACAGGAGTCCCTCCCCCCACCCCCTGCCCAATCTGTTACTTTTATGCTTGATTTCTGCACATGAACAGTGACATCAATTTCAAAAGGAATGTTCCTGAAATAAGAGCAATTCAGGGTAAGGGGTGCAAATTTTGGTTTTGATTTTCTAAAGTATGGAGAAACATCCCATTTAGAGCATTGCAAACTGTAGGGAAACACAGGCTAGATATTCAAAAAACACAAGGCGGAATAAATCAAAGTTATACAGTTTTAACTAAGTGGAATAGTTTAGATTGGTAGGGAATAGAATACACATTCACCCTTGGGGGGAGAGGGGCTGGGAGCAAATCTTAGATGAGGTTCTGCCATTTTTAAGCCTTTTAAACCAATATGTGTGTGGCACTGAGAGACTAGAGATCCCCTACGGAATCTGAAGAGGTACTCAGGGGTTGGTCACTGGAGAACTGTCCAAAACAAGAAGGCCATAGGTACTGCAAAACTTCCATGCCCCACCACTGCTGGACACATAATTCAGGTGTCACTCCAATATCTGTACACCCCTCTGGTTTTGGCCTGCTTCACGAGAGTGAAGGCACTGACATTTGTTCCATGCTTCCCTTTTTCTTCTCATGGCATGGGGCAGTAAGTGGAGTTGCAGCCTTAGAAGTTTGGGCTTGCAGAGTGGCACTGATAGTCTACTCTACACCCATCACCAACCTGCCATGTTTGGGGTGACAAAAATAGAGCTGCAGGTCAATTCATGCTCCCTGGCTGGAGAGCAGTGACTGCATGTAGCCATGGTAACATGATAGGGCTGTATGCATGTTTGGTGGCTAGATGACTACCTGTATGAAAAGTTCCCAAACCCACTACATTTAGAAATGGTTCTGAGTAATTATTTTGGTGCACTTTTGATTTCTTAGATCTCACTGTGCTTCACATTGGCAATGAAATATTATTTATTATCACTTCACAGTCTGGACAAGTGATGTAGAGAATGTGTCCAATGAGAAGCACTACAAATCAGTGGCAGAGCTGGGTCCCTTTGTTCCCAATCTACTTCTCTATGATCATACTTCCCTAAAATATCTTAGATATGGGGACTACAATATTTACTTTAATCAAGATGAATTTTTTTTCCACAATCATCATGAAGGGAAAAACAAAAAGCCCTCTTGTCTTCCTGCCGCCCTCATTTGCCCTCTTTAGTCTCTTCCTGCCTCCCACCCCCAGCCCCCTTTCCTCCCTTATAGTCAGGGACAGCTGACTTCTAGATTGGGCTAGGTTCCCTTCTGGGCACAGAGTGCAAGGAAACATTGCTCTCCATGTCTTAACCATTGAGGAATTAAGGCTGAAGGCATCATGTGGGCTACAATACACTCTTTGTTCTCATTAGTTGTTTTTATCATCAGTGATATTTAATTTCCCACAGCTGTGTGTCACAAAATAAGTGCAGCTGCCTTCCAACTATTACTAATTTAAATATTTATCATTAGATACAGGACATGGTAACTAGATTCAGATAAGCACCAGGGAATTTTGTTGTTCCTAACTGTTGAACATTTAAACGTTAAGGTTATAAGTCTGATTGTTCCAGGCTATGAATAACCCAAGAGTTAATAAAATTTAACAGAATGAGGTGGGGTGGGGAGGTGTGGGGTGGGGTGGGGTGGAGTGGGGGAAAGTAACGAATATACCAGTTACTGGCAGATGCTTGAAGCATCTGAGTTCAAGTGAAAACTCTTAATAAATATTTTGCTCTATGTCTTGATTTGTTCTGCACTATGTGAATTAGTTTTTCATTTTCAATTCTTTCTGTTGTGTCACTAAAATGTTAGTTACACATGAAATAGTTCCTCAGTGAATGAACTAACATGTCCAGCACTGGTGCATCTACATGTTCAATTAATGTGAAGCAATAGACTCTGGAGTTTATTGCTCTGGTATTTATTGCTCCTGGGTGCATGAACCTGGGACCACAGCACATTGAGCTGGGTCAGAGCAGCCGCAGCTATAAGGGGTCTTGGGGATCAGCCTACCAACCATGGGCTGCTCCGCCATGGCTCAACATGTTGTATAGGGGCCGGCTGGGGCATGATAGTGCTTCAATATGGAGCTAGCTGCTGGGCAGCCCATTCACTGAAGGACCCTCCTGCCCAACCCAAATGGGGCAGCATCTATACATGTGCTGCTGTGGAGTAAAGAACTCCATAGCAGAATAGTACTTGTATTTACAAGTACTACCCTGCTGCAGAGTTAATTAGTTTACTCCAGTCTAATAGGGGCTCACATGTAGATGCCGAGACATTTACTGCAAATCTAATTAGTCTACTCAACAGTAAATATCTCATGTAGCTGCACCCACTGTGTCTTTAGTTGAATGCAAAAAAGCAGATCCCATCAAAACACCATAATAAATTCCACATTTTTAAGCAAAAATACTATAAAAATGTTGCTCTGTGGGTCAGGCCAATTCTCAGGATCTCAATATTGCGCTGTTAGACAGGAGGGTGTGATGCAATTGCACATACACAAACACACAAATCAAGTAGGTACATATACACACACACTACCAACTCAGGTGCATACACATCCAAACTAGCCTAGGTACATGCATACCTATCACCAATTCAAGCACATACACTATACACTCCAAAAGTTAGACAAAAATCAATTGTCCATACCCACACACTCAGTACACATACACAGATCACTAATCCGTATATCATGCATACAATAACATATATATACATACACACACACCCACTCACCCCACCTACACGTAGGTACATTCCTAACTTGGATGGTACCATATGTATGTGTGTGCTTGGGGTACCTGGGGGAAGGTTAAGGTGAGAGAGAGAGAGTGTTAAAGTGTAGGGCGTGAAAGTTGCCAGAACTGGTGGACTAGAGAGAAGCTGGCTGAGGACATGAGGCTTGGGGTTACTTAAGGTAGATTGGGGCTGGAAACTGAGGCAGAAACCTGAGATATGGGGGG